CATGCGGGCACAGTGCTACCAATTAGCATGTTGGAAGGACACAGGGTACACACAGGATACTAGGAACCAAGGTAACCTACTGCAGCACACTAGAAAGGGATGATAAGGGATAGAACGCAGGGAACACGTATGTAGAGAGAAGCCAATTTCTGATGCCACCATGCTTCAACGTCTATTCAGAAGTGTTTGGATCTATCTTACCAGCTTGGTTTTATTTTACATGTACATGGATTCTCTACTGATGTCAGTGCAATACTTTTTAATAAAGCAATTTTATCTGATATTCTATACTATGTGCAGTGTTTTTTTACCTGTTTTTCCCTTGAGCCATATACTGCAGCTGATTGGTGGTGGGAACCCAGATGACAGCAGGGGGTGACGGTCAGGTTACCATTACTGAGGTGTGCCAGAGACATCTACCTGATTGTACAGTTGCAAGAAAAAGTATGTGAACCCCTTGGGATTACGTGGAGTTTTGCATGAATTGGGCATAAAATGTGCTCTGAACGTCATCTAAGTCACAACAATAGAAGAACACAGTCTGCTGAACATAATACTACACAAACATTAGATGTTGCCATGGTTTAATTGCACATAACATGTAAACATTCACAGTGCAGGGAGGAAAAAGTATGTGAACCTTTTGGACTTAATAACTGGTTGACTCTCCTTTGGCAGCAATAACCTCAACCAAACGTTTCCTGTAGTTGCAGATCAGACCTGCACAACGATCTGGAGTCATTTTGGACCACTCCTCTTCACAAAACTGTTTCAGTGTAGCAATATTCTTGGGATGTCTGGTGTGAATCGCTCTCTTAAGGTCATGCCACAGCATTTCAATCGGGTTGAGGTCAGGACTCTGACTGGGCCACTCCAGAAGGCGTATTCTGTGCTGTTGCAGCCATTGTTTTTGTTGAATTACTTATATGCTTTGGGTCATTGTCCTGTTGCATCACCCATCCTCTGCGGAGCTTCAGTTGGCGGACAGATGGTCGTACGTTTTCCTGCAAAAATGTCTTGATAAACTCTGGAATTCATTTTCCCATCAATGACAACAATCCATCCAGGCCCTGAGCAGCAAAGCAGCCCCAAACCATGATGCTCCCTCCGCCATGTTTCACAGTGGGGATGAGGTTTTGATGTTGGTGTGCTGGGCCTTTTTTTCTCCACACATAGTGTTGTGTGTTCTTCCCAAACAACTCAATCTTGGTTTCATCTGTCCACAGTATATTTCTGCCAGTAGTGCTGTGGACACATCCAGGTGCTCTTTTGCAAACTTCAAACGTGCTGCAATCTTCTTTTTGGCCAGCAATGGCTTCCTCCGTGGTGTCCTCCCATGTACTCCATTCTTGTTTCATGTTTTCCTTATTGTAGATGTGTCAACAAAAATGTTAGCATGTGCCAGAGATTTCTGTAGGTCTTTAGCAGACACTCTGGGATTCTTCTTTACCTCATGCAGCATTCTGCGCTGTGCCCTTGCAGTCATTTTTACAGGACGACCATGCCTAGGGAGAGTAGCAACAGTGCTAAACTTTCTCCATTTGTAGACAGTCTGTCTTACCGTGGACACATGAACATCAAGGCTCAAGGAGATACTTTTGTAACCCTTTCCAGCTTCATGCAAGTCAACAATTCTTGGTCGTAGGTCTTCTGAGAGCTCTTTTCTGCGAGGCATGGTTCACATCAGACAGTGCTTCTTGAAACCAGTAAACCCAAAACAGGTGTCAGCAACACATCCAATATCATCACACTGATTGGAGTCAAGGTTGGCTCACTCCTGGCTCCAATTAGCTCTGGGAGAAGTCATTAAGCTAGGGCCCCACATACTTTTTCCTCCCTGCACTGTGAATGTTTACATGTTATGTGCAATTAAACCATGGCAACAACTAATGTTTGTGTAGTATTATGTTCAGCAGACTGTGTTCTTCTATTGTTGTGACTTAGATGACATTCAGAACACATTTTATGCCCAATTCATGCAAAACTCCACGTAATCCCAAGGGGTTCACATACTTTTTCTTGCAACTGTACTTTAAAAGACTTCTCTTTGATTAGGGGGTCATGGTTATTCATTACCATTACAGAGGTGTGCCAGAGACATCTACCTGATTGTACTTTAAAAGACTTCTCTTTGATTAGGGGGTCATGGTTATTCTTTACCATACGACTTTTGGTGTAGGTGGCGGATTCATCTTTGGGCACGTCCAGGTTTTTGGATAAAGAAGTCACTATTTTTCATTCGGTCACAGGCACAGACTTTGTTGTACATTGAGGACCTTTTGTAGGTCAATTTGAATGCAATTATTGTTTTATTTATCATAGAGTTTCACATTCTAATGTCAATGTTATTTCTGTATTTGTAGGGGAACACTTTTTATTTTGAATTTTTTATTTTATCTGTAGCCATTAAGAAGAAGCTTCTGACTTTTGCACCGTATAAATATTGAGCAGTGGAATCTATAGTTCTTTATTCTTGAATATTGTCTATAACTATTATGTTTTACCTGGCTTGTGATGTATGTGTTTGCATACTGTATAAACCATTTGCCACAGAACATGCTTACCTCTACAACTAGGCCCAGTATGAGTGAAACATGTCAGAAGGGTGTGACTGATGGGCAGGGATCTGAGCTGGGGTTGCCACCTCATCCCTTTAAACTCGAACACATATTAATTATACAGGTTCTGTTGCTGGTAATTAAACTCACTTAGTGCCTTATCTGAATTAAATTAGCCTCAGAACCTGTGTAAATAATATGTGTTCGGGTTTAAAGAGATGAGGTGGCAACCCTAATGTGAACCCCTGAAACCTGTTTTTCATTTTCTTCACACTGGAGTTGAATACAGTGCGTGGCAACACTTGTATGCTATATTGATAAGATGAGCAGTTATGTGTGAACCACAGCAGCTACAGATCTGACAGGGTATAAATCTGACAGTTGCAATTGTTTTCACAGTGTGCGCAGGTAGTGTTTACAACCACTGGCAAGAATCTACAGATTTTTGCTGGCAACTGCCCCTGGCCACTGCTGTGAGGTTGTGTAAATGTAGTTTAGATGCAGTTAACCACTTGACCTTTGGAAGGTTTTATTCCTTTCATGACTAGAGCATTTTTTTGCTATTCAGCACTGAGCTACTTTAACTGACAGTTGCTCGGTCATGCAACACAGTACTCAAGTGGAATGTATACAATTTTTTCACACAAATAGAGCTTTCTTTTGGTGGTATTTGATCACCACTGAGTTTGTTTTCTATTATTTAATATATAGATGAAAAAAAGACTGAAAATTTAGAAAAAATCCCCAATATTTTCTACTTTCCGTTCTAAAACATATCTAATAGAATGAAATGTCTTCATACATTAAGGCTAAAATGTATTCTGTTACATGTCTTTGGTAAAAAAAAATCCCACATCGAATACTGGATTTTTGGGGACACTAGTATAATTCTGATCATGATCAAGATATTAATCCGTACAGACACTATGCTAGTAATGGTGGTGATTGGCAAATTATAGTGTGACTGAGATAGTGTGCCAGGTAATCTGGCACTAACTGACACTGACTGGGAGGGACACTAATTGACTAACTGATATGGACATGGCTAGTGACACTAATACAGTGATCAGAGATAATACTGTACACTCTACTAATGACACTGGCTGGGTGACAGGAGTAATCAGGAGGACAATCAAGGGGTTAATTGTGTGCCTAACAAAGTGCATGTGTTCTGCTTTTACTCACAGGTTCTGGCTGGGTCTCTCTCTTGCTTTATGCTCTGAACGGTAATTGATACCATGGAGAAATCCAGCCAGAACCTGTGTGTTGTGTTTACAAACACACAGATCTCTGTGCTGTGATTGGCCACAGCTGATCAACAGGTATACAGCCAAAATCATTGACTGTAACCTGCTGACAAACTCGTGCTGTGTCCAAGTGCATGGAGAAGCTGGCCGCTAACAATAAATGTACTGTTGGTGGTTGTGAAGTGGTTAACCACTTCCTGCCCAGGCAATAAGAAAATGATGGATGGGTGGGACTCTCATCGATCTGGGTGGGCATCATATGATGCCCTTCCCGGATTGCGCCTTGCGCGTGCCCTCAGGGCAGTGCTGTGGTGAGATCTGTCACCGGCTGTGTACCTCAGACACAGCCGATGTCAGATATGTGTAATGGCCCTTTGCCAGTACCATGTGACCTGCTGTGAGCAATCACAGCAGGTCACATGACAGCTGTAAACAATGGATGGCTTCCTTTCATGCCATCCATTGTATACAACTGTGTCACTAGCTGTGATAGGTCACAGTAATTAGGTTCACAGACTGGGCCAATCACAGCCCTTCTGTGTCATGCGGTTATCCATTGCCAGTCACAGCTAATCACAACCTGAATGAATCGATTTCATTCAGTTAAATACTTGCTTATAGCAAATAAATTATTTGATATAAGCAATCATATTGTGTAAAAAAAAAAAAAAAATACTGATCACGTCCCCAAAGTAGTACAATGTTACTATGGTAACATTATACTACTTTGGTCATAGTGTAATATGAAAAGAAAATTGTAAAAAAAAAAAAAAAAAAGAGAACAAAATGTAATGGTAATGGAAGTGTAGGCAGGACAGAGCACACGGAGAGGATGGGGGACACACAAACCTTTATTGAAGCAACAAAATTGACAGACACTCAATGGTGAAATGGCAGGGAGGGTGATGTGTGCACAAACCAGGGACGATTCCAGGCACGGGGGGTCTTCAGCGACAGGCAGACAATCTCCCCCCTAGGCTTGGGGCCTCAGCCGAGCTCCCTCTGTGACTGGACAGCGGATTGGAGACTCGGGCAACAGGCGGCAACCTACCACTGGGCAGAGGCCTCGGGCAACAGGCAGCAATCTACCCCTGGGCAGGGGCCTTGGGCAACAGGCAGCAACCTACCACTGGGCAGGGGCCTCGGGCAACAGGCGGCAACCTAGCACTGGACAAGGGCCTTGGGCAACAGGCGGCAACCTACCACTGGGCAGGGGTCTCGGGCAACAGGCGGCAACCTACCACTGGGCAGGGGCCTTGGGCAACAGGAGGCAACGTACCCATGGGCAGGGGTCTTGGGCAACAGGCGGCAATCTACCCCTGGGCAGGGGTCTCGGGCAACAGGTGGCAACCTACCCCTGGGCAGGGGTCTTAAGCAACAGGTGGCAACCTACCACTGGGCAGAGGCCTCAGGCAAAAGCCGGCAATCTACCCCTGGGCAGGGGTCTCAGGCAACGGGCGTCAACCTACCGCTGGACAGGGGCCTTGGACAACAGGCGGCAACCAATCCCTGGGCAGGGGCCTCGGGCAACAGGCGGCAATCTACCCCTGGGCAGGGGTCTCGGGCAACAGGCGGCAACCTACCCATGGGCAGGGGTCTTGGGCAACAGGTGGCAACCTACCACTGGGCAGGGGCCTCGGGCAACAGGCGGCAATCTACCCCTGGGCAGGGGTCTCGGGCAACAGGCGGCAACCTACCCCACTGGGCAGGGGCCTCGGGCAACAGGCGGCAAACCTACCCCAGGGGGGCAACAGGGGCCTCGGGCAACAGGCGGCAACCTACCACTGGGCAGGGGCCTCGGGCAACAGGTGGCAACCTACCCCTAGGCAGGGGTCTTGGGGACTCAACGGGACTCTAGCTGTGGAGTCTGGCCCCAGCACAGCTCCCACCCAGCTTTCTAGGGACATTGGGTTCACGGGGGGTAGCTCAAGCACTCAGGGGCACCACAGGTAGCTATACTCCGGGCACGCCATGGGGCAGTTCAAGTAAGGGTAGTCTAGGCGTGTAGTAGGGCAGTGCCTAACCCCGGTGGTCTGTGCGCACAACAGGGACAGTTCAGGACACGGGTGGTCAGTGCACACAGCGGGGACAGTTCAGGACACGAGTGGTCAGTGCACACACCAGGGGGCAGTTCAGAACACAGGTGGTCGGTGCACACAGCAGGCACAGTTCAGGACACAGGTGGTCAGTGCGCACAACAGAGACAGTTAAGGATACGGATGGTCGGTGCACACAGCAGAGACCGTTCAGAACACGGGTGGTCGGTGCACACAGCGGTGACAGTTCAGGACACTCACGGTAAGCAGCTTGCAGACCCTCAGCGGCAGGCGGCTCCAGACAGGGACGACCAGCAGTCAGCATTCCAGGGACAACCAGTGATCAGCAGACAGCAGCAGCTCCCAGGGCGCTCAGCAGCGGACAGCTTCCGGGGACCCACGGCCACAGACAGTGTGCAGGGTCCCTCAGCAGCAGCTCCCAGGGCACTCAGCAGCAGACAGCTTCCAGGGACACGCACCACGGATAGTGTGCAGGGTCCCTCAGCAGCAGCTCCCAGGGCACTCAGCAGCAGACAGGGTGCAAGGGTGCTCAGTAGACAGGCTTATAGACTTGCAGGGTCTGGCAGGGTCTCAGCTGTGGGGTCTGACCTTTGAGGAGAAGGCTCATGCAGAGCTGTGGAGACTCCCAACCCTGGGGTATTGCAGAGGGCTACAGTCCTGACCTTTTGGGGGTCTGCAGAGTGCGCAGAGGGGATGGCTGGGGAGGCTCGGTCCCCCCACCCAAGGAACAGGAACAAAGAGAGGAGGGCTGCTTCCTGTGCGGGTCTTTTGAAAACCATGTGGGATGCGGCTAGGTTGCCTCGGCAACGGCCTGCCCAGCCCTGTCCATGGAAGCTCCACAGACATCGGAATGTGCAAGGGGGAGGGAGGGGTGGAGGGATATGGCGGCGATTGGGAGAGGCCCTGGCAGTCTGTGACAGTAATAAAAAATAAAAAAATAATAATAATTTTTTTGTACTGTCACCATCCACTATCTCTGATCACCACCACACTAGTTATATGATGATGCCGTGTTGCACTGGTAACAGTATGTAAAAAAAAAAATTGTGAAAATAATTTTTTTAATTTCTTAATTTTCCAAAATATGACGACAAAGAAATCACAACTTCAAAAAACTTGCCATGCCTCTTATGAAATACGACAAACTGTCTACTTTGCAAAAAGGGATCATTTGGGGGATATCTGTACTGTTCTGACATTTGTGAGTCTCAAAAAATTAGATCGGTTGTCAGTACTTCAGGACTGATCAATGTTCAGATATATCCCATAGTTTCTGAACTCTATAACTTTCCTGCAGACTAAATGATAAATATGATTTGGGCTATTTTCACCAAAGAAATGTAGCAGAATACATCTTGACCTAGATTTATGAAGAACAATTATTTATTTGAAAACTTTTATAACAGAAACAAAGAAAAACTTTTTTTTTTCAAAATTTTTGGTATTTTTTTGTTAATTTAGCAAAAAAAAAAAAAACCCAATTGTGATTAAATACCACCAAAAGAAAGCTCTAGTTGTGTGAACAAAATGATAAAAATTTAGTTTGGGTACAGTGTTGCATGACCGCACACATACTGCACAGCACAGGGCTGTGTGAACAAAATTATAAAAATTTAGTTTGGGTACAGTGTTGCATGACCGCGCAATTGTCATTCAAAGTGTGAGAGCGCTGAAACCTGAAAATTGGCCTGGGCAGGAAGGGGGTAAACATGCCCGGTATTGAATTGGTTAATGATTTTCCAATGGTGCCATTCACACCGAGCTCTTACCTGTGTTTAGGTGTCGTCAGTTTAGTTGCATTTAGAGAAAATAGAATTCTGTGCATCCAAGATCCAATTAGAGAATATAAATGCATGTAAACACATGCGCATGTAAATATGACAAAATATGGCTAATCGGTGCCTCAACCTTTTAAAGTAGGAACACCCAAACACAGGAAAAAGTGACCTGGGAGAATTAACATTTTTATACTTTGCAGGCAACTTAGAAAAGATAAATCCAGGGATGTCAGTGTGAAGGAAGCCTATGGAATATATAGTGCATGTTCAGCTTTAAGCAGATCTGACATCTTCATTGTTTACTTAACTCGAGATTATCATCTGAAAATACTTAATGCAGCATGAAGATATGTTCAGTTAAAAGCCGGATGTGAAAGCTAGTACTGTGCTAATTGCATGCTGGTACCCTGCGTGAGGCTGCTGAGTCACAAGGAACGCACGCGTGTGAGAACCCAATGTACTTGTGCTTAGCTGTAAGTACATTTTACGAGGAATCTGTATTTTTCTCAAGCAAACTGAGCGATTACATTAAGTAGGTGCAGGGAAATTACGGAGTACCCTGCCAATGAAACTTTAAATCTCACCATAATAGTCTCCAGCACAGATGTAATGTAACCAACTCATTTGCATAACTCACGCCACGGTGGCAGTATTTCCTAATGTCAGGAAATTACGACATTTTTACAGCTTGGTAAATTGCTGAAAATTACATTGTCATAAATAAGGATGCCATCTTGCTCTTGTGCGAGGATCGACCACGGTCAGATTTAATCTTTTAAAAACCCTGATTAAACTGCGAGATCGCTATGGAAATTAAATACAAAATGAGACCGTAACACAGCAATTGACTGTAATATATAGAAAGCAGTCAGACTTTTTTTATCTTCAGTCTTGTTCTTATCGCCACTCTTAGTCTTATAAAATTAAAACATTAACAACCTTTTTCAATAAAAATAAAGCTAATTTTTAAGTGCGACCAATCAGAATTCATTCTGCTGAGGTCAGTCCAGTACACAGGAAGGTCTGGCCAGTTGCTATGAATTAATCTGTTTTAACACTCAATAACTGGTATACATTGAGGTAGACCATACATCTTGCTCCAATCTGTGTCCTCCCACAAGATAACAATATTTGGTTAAGGCATGTGAAATATTGTTTTTTAGCTAATAAAGCCAAACAAACAGCCACATGAAAAGTTATTCAGTGTAGCTTAGAGTGTTATTGCCATCATCCCTGTTTCCATAATAGAGAGAACTGCATCTTACATTTAATGGGGTTTTTAAGGCAACCTTGGAGTATATACAAAGAAACAAATTATTTAAAAGATCAACATTTTATTTGAACAAATTTCTTTTGTTTGGCAAATCGGCACATATCACGTAAACATTGCATATTCGCCAATATAAAATACAAACATTTTAACAACTTATTCACTTCGCAAAATTGTAGTTGTTGCAATTTGTATCCAGTGGTATCCCCCAAAGCTGATTTCCATCTTGTAACCTTAAGGTTTGACTGCAAGATATATTCAGCCTGGGATCCAACATGTTTCTAATATATTAACACAAATTCTTCTTCCAGGAAAGGATACCACTCTATAACATAAATTGTTGTCAATGACTAATTATTATTAAATATCTTTATAATTATGTTATGGTAAAAGGAACCATAGAGGGGACATAACTTACATAACCACCACAAGCAGGGGCGGACTGACAACTCATGGGGCCCCCGGGCAATAGGGGATCATGGGGCCCCTGTGTCCTTGCCCAAACTCAAAAAAGCCTATGAAAAATGTACCAGGGGCATCTCAATGGGGTCCCCTACTGACCCTGGGCCCTCGAGCAGTGCCCGAGTTTCCAAATGGTCAGTCCACCCCTGACCACAAGAAGATTTTTTACCATGGTGTCCGTTTATGAACCAGCGGTAATAGATCGCTGCTCAGTTCTCCGGCATTCTCGGAGAACACAGTTCTCCTGTGAATGCAGTTTATGAAGCAGTTCTCCGAACGAAGGGAGAACGGTCTCCAAACGCTGGAGAACGGTCTACAAACTCTGGAAAACGGCTGATTTTACTATAATCTCGTGAGATTACAGTAAAAGATCAGTTTACTAAACAGAGGTCAATTATCTCTGCTTAGTTTGCGGTCCCTCTGATTCTCCAGCTCTGGGCTGGAGAATCTGGAGGGAGAACACAGATCTCCAGTGAAGGGCTGACATGATCTCCTGAGTGTCATAAACTGTGAATGACCAGAGAATAGCTGAGATCCCTTGAATCGCAGCTATTCTCTGTGTCATAAAAGGACACCCATGTTAGAAGGTGAGTCTCCTTCAAGAATGAGGCCATCAATTAGACATGCAAAGACCACGGGTGCCATATCACAAACACTGTCATAACAGAACATATATAAATGTAGTGAAGTATATAATAATAACTTTAAAAGTACAACAAAGCATAAAGTATAAGTAGGAATGAGTTTTTAAAACTACAAATCCCCTTATCCAATATTGGTGGGGACAAAAAACTATATAGATCATTGTGATATATATCCTTTAACCACTTGCCTACCAGGCACTTATACCCCCTTCCTTACCAGGCCAATTTTCAGCTTTCAGCGCTGCCGCACTTTGATTGACAATTGCGCGGTCATGCAACATTGTACCCATATGAAATTTTGATCATTTTTTTCTCACAAATAGAGCTTTCTTTTGGTGGTATTTAATCGCCACTGGGCGCTTTACTTTTTGCGCTATAAATTAAAAAAAGTGCAAAAAATGTGAAAAAAAAAAAAAAAGTTTATTTGTTTCTTTTATAAAATTCAAACAGGTATTTTTTCTCCTTCACTGATTTGCGTTGATGAGGCGGCACTGATGGGCACTGATAGGCGGCACTGATGGGCACTGATAGGCAGCACTAAAGGGCACTGATAGGCAGTACTAATGAGGTGGCACGGATAGGCGGCACTGATAGACAGCACTAATTAGGGGTCACGGATAGGCGGCACTGATATGCAGCACTGATAGGCGGCACTGATAGGTGACACTGATGATGGGTACTGATAGACGGCACTGACTGGCATCACTTCTGGGCACTGACTGGTGGCACTGACTGGCACAACCCCTGGGCACTGACTGGTGGCACTGACTGGCAGCACTGGTGGGTGGCACTGGTGGGTGGCACTGGTGGACAGCACTGGTGGGTGGGCACAGGTGGGTGGCACTGGTGGGCACAGGTGGGTGGCGCTGGTGGGCACAGGTGGGTGGGCACAGGTGGGTGGCACTGCTGGGCACATGTAGGTGGCACTGCTGGGCACAGGTAGGTGGCACTGCAGAGTGGCACAGGTGGGGGCACTGCTGGGCACAGGTGGGGGCACTGCTGGGCACAGGTGGGGGCACTGCTGGGAATGGGTGGGCGGGGCTAGTGGGCGCACAGCTGATCGGAACTTGCGGGGGTCACTGCTGGGCACCGATCATCAGGGCACTGATCATCAGTGCCCTGATGATCGGTGCCGATCCCCGCTCTGACAACTGCCGGTTCTCGGCAGTACTTTCCTCACGATCTGACAGCGTGAGGAAAGTGCATCCGAGAACCGGCACTTGCATTTTCCTGTGATCAGCGTGTCATTGGACACCGCTGATCACGTGGTAAAAGGCCGGTGGGATCGGCCTTTCACCACATCTCGTGATCAGCTGTGTCCGTAGGACACAGCGATCACGGAGATCGCCGGGTGCGCGCCCCCTGGGGCGCGCAGGAGAGCGCGT